CGCTTCTATCACAAGAAGTTAGAAACTGCTCTAACGGTTGTGGCATGGAAATTCAAAATAACACTGAATCAATTAATAATCTGATCAGATATTTACATGTGAAACCATGAAGCTATTTATCGTTTCAGACATCCTTCTCTCCTCCTCCCCTCCTCCTCCTCGTCATTATCATCATCGAATATGAATTTTCTAATATTTGAAAGATCTATCTATTATTATCTATTAAATTACACGTAGTTTGACAACGTCTAATATCTGTAATTTGCCTTTATTTAGTCAATTGCGTCAATATTATCTGCGTTGATCAACAATTCGATGTTATTTCCCTGTAGATAGAGGTCATTCCCTACCGACGACATATGGTGTGATTGGAGGTGACGGCTTCCGCCATAATAGACGGATATTGAGTCAGGCCAAGGAACTTATTTGTAAGATCACATCCGTCCTTATATTACTTAAACACTCAAATGACGAATCATATTTTCTGAACGCATGTTGTATTATTTAAAATTCGCACTAAACCCTTTTGAAAAAAAAATGTAAATTGGTACGAAAATTGAAAAAAAAAAAAATCGCATGAATAACATCTTTCAATACAGAATCATAATCCGAACTCATATTCAACAAAACTAGGACAAAATATGATCAAAATAAATGTAATATCTTGTTTGCTACCCACGTGGAACAATCAACTCATAAGAAATGGCGTCCAGGTGATACAACTGCTTTTATTAACCTCCACGACAGAAGAGCTAACGCTCAGGGTTATACTAAATACCCTACAGTAACACGTATCGGATTGATCCATATATCACAATGAAATACTAAGATAATAAGATCAAGTGTTTCGGAAGAGTAAGCATCTTCTTCATCGACACACTCGTCATGTAAATCTTGCTTAATCCATGTAAATATTGTCACGTAGATACAGTAGTCAAATAATGAAATTGTTGGCATCATACAGCTGCTTCGTCCTTTTGAAGCAAGAAGGTTGACTCTATCTGAATATCTTCATTGTTGACTCTATCTGAATATCTACATTGTTGACTCTATCTGAATATCTACATTGTTGACTCTATCTGAATATCTACATTGTTGACTCTATCTGAATATCTACATTGTTGACTCTATCTGAATATCTACATTGTTGACTCTATCTGAATATCTACATTGTTGACTCTATCTGAATATCTTCATTATTGACTCTATCTGAATATCTTCATTGTTGACTCTATCTGAATATTTTTATCTACATCGTTGACTCGGTCTGAATATCTTCATTGTTGACTCTATCTGAATATCTTTATCTTCATTGTTGACTCTATCTGAATATCTTCATTATTGACTCTATCTGAATATCTACATTGTTGACTCTATCTGAATATCTTCATTATTGACTCTATCTGAATATCTACATTGTTGACTCTATCTGAATATCTTTATCTACATCGTTGACTCGGTCTGAATATCTTCATTATTGACTCTATCTGAATATCTTTATCTTCATTGTTGACTCTATCTGAATATTTTCATTGTTGACTCTATCTGAATATCTTCATTGTTGACTCTATCTGAATATCTTTATCTACATCGTTGACTCGGTCTGAATATCTTCATTGTTGACTCTATCTGAATATCTTTATCTTCATTGTTGACTCTATCTGAATATCTTCATTATTGACTCTATCTGAATATCTACATTGTTGACTCTATCTGAATATCTTCATTGTTGACTCTATCTGAATATCTACATTGTTGACTCTATCTGAATATCTTCATTGTTGACTCTTTCTGAATATCTACATCGTTGACTCTATCTGAACATCTTTATCTTGATTGTTGACTCTATCTGAATATATTTATCTTCATTGTTGACTTTATCTGAATATCTTCATTGTTGACTTTATCTGAACATCTTAATCGTAAATTTTGTCTCTATCTGAATATCTTTATCTTCATTGTTGACTCTATCTGAATATATTTATCTTCATTGTTGACTCTATCTGAATATCTTTATCTTCATTGTTGACTCTATCTGAATATATTTATCTTCATTGTTGACTCTATCTGAATATCTTCATTGTTGACTCTATCTGAATATCTTTATCTTCATTGTTGACTCTATCTGAATATCTTCATTGTTGACTCTATCTGAATATCTACATTGTTGACTCTATCTGAACATCTTTATCTTCATTGTTGACTCTATCTGAACATCTTTATCTTCATTGTTGACTCTATCTGAATATCTTCATTGTTGACTCTATCTGAATATCTTTATCTTCATTGTTGACTCTATCTGAATATCTTTATCTTCATTGTTGACTCTATCTGAATATCTTCATTGTTGACTCTATCTGAATATATTTATCTTCATTGTTGACTTTATCTGAATATCTACATTGTTGACTCTATCTGAATATCTTTATCTTCATTGTTGACTCTATCTGAATATCTTCATTGTTGACTTTATCTGAATATCTTCATTGTTGACTCTATCTCAACATCTTTATCTTCATTGTTGACTCTATCTGAACATCTTGATCTTCATTGTTGACTCTATCTCAACATCTTTATCTTCATTGTTGACTCTATCTGAATATCTTCATTGTTGACTCTATCTGAATATCTTCATTGTTGACTTTATCTGAATATCTTCATTGTTGACTCTATCTCAACATCTTTATCTTCATTGTTGACTCTATCTGAACATCTTGATCTTCATTGTTGACTCTATCTGAATATCTTCATTGTTGACTCTATCTGAATATCTTCATTGTTGACTCTGTCGATCTCTGTTTACAGCCCAGTGGTTTCTCCAACTGAGGTCCGCCTTCTCTACCAGCGCCATTTCGGTTGTCATCATGACAAAGATCGTGAAACAGACGTTAGTCAAAATTTCTAGATATTATAAGGGTTATCTTTTTCTAGTTAAAATAGTACAATACACATTATATAAACCCCTTTTAGACGGTTCTGAAAAATCTAAAAAAACATTCTGAACGTCTATTTTTCTACTTCTAGGTAATTTTATTTTTAATGATTTAGATTTTTGCGTTTTCATCGCAAGCTTGAAGTATATTGTGTTTTTCTCTTGTGTCATAAAAATACATCAGTTTTGTTTCCAAAGTATTTATTCTTCGCAATTATACTTCATTCTCGAAAACCGGAAATTAAAACCATGTAGAAAATGTTTTATATGGGTTTAGTGTCTGACTATATGAGATATCCCCGATAGCTGGTTATCTGGAGCTAAATGATGTATTTACTAATTGTATTGATTCAATCGTTTATACGTTTTCTTAATTTACGTTTTGTTAATTGATACGTTTTGTGAATTTATATTTTTTGTTAATTGATACGTTTGTAAATTGATACGTTTGTTAATTGATACGTTTTGTTAATTGATACGTTTGTAAATTGATACGTTTTGTTAATTGATACGTTTGTAAATTGATACGTTTGTTAATTGATACGTTTTGTTAATTGATACGTTTGTAAATTGATACGTTTTGTTAATTGGTACGTTTGTTAATTGATACGTTTGTAAATTGATACGTTTGTAAATTGATACGTTTTGTTACTTGATACGTTTTGTTAATTGATACGTTTGTTAATTGATACGTTTTGTTAATTTACGTTTTGTTAATTGATACGTTTGTTAATTGATACGTTTTGTTAATTTACGTTTTGTTAATTGATACGTTTTGTTTATTGATACGTTTTGTTAATTGATACGTTTTGTTGATTGATACGTTTTGTTAATTGATACGTTTGTTAATTGATACGTTTTGTTAATTGATACGTTTGTTAATTGATACGTTTTGTTAATTGATACGTTTTGTTAATTTACGTTTTGTTAATTGATACGTTTTGTTAATTTACGTTTTGTTAATTGATACGTTTTGATAATTTACGTTTTGCTAATTGATACGTTTTGTTAATTGATACGTTTGTTAATTGATACGTTTTGTTAATTTACGTTTTGTTAATTGCTACGTTTTGTTAATTGATACGTTTGTAAATTGATACGTTTGTTAATTGATACGTTTTGTTAATTGATACGTTTGTTAATTGATACGTTTGTAAATTGATACGTTTGTTAATTGATACGTTTTGTTAATTGATACGTTTGTTAATTGATACGTTTGTAAATTGATACGTTTGTTAATTGATACGTTTGTAAATTGATACGTTTGTTAATTGATACGTTTTGTTAATTGATACGTTTGTTAATTGATACGTTTGTAAATTGATACGTTTGTTAATTGATACGTTTTGTTAATTGATACGTTTGTTAATTGATACGTTTGTAAATTGATACGTTTGTTAATTGATACGTTTGTAAATTGATACGTTTGTTAATTGATACGTTTTGTTAATTGATACGTTTGTTAATTGATACGTTTGTAAATTGATACGTTTGTTAATTGATACGTTTTGTTAATTGATACGTTTGTTAATTGATACGTTTTGTTAATTTACGTTTTGTTAATACGTTTTGTTAATTGATACGTTTGTTAATTGATACGTTTGTTATACGTTTTGTTAATTGATACGTTTGTTAATTGATACGTTTTGTTAATTGATACGTTTGTTAATTGATATCTTTTGATAATTTATACGTTTTGTTAATTTATATCTTTTGATAATTTATACGTTTGTTAATTTTTGTTAATTTATACGTTTTGTTAATATTTTTGCCACCTACCCTTGTCAAATTCGAAGGTACTGATTAAGACAGCACTACTCTTGTTTATTCATTAGAAAAATATTTTGTTTATACGTTTCAATGTATATTTTTCGTGAACGGAAAAGCGCAGTATATTTATACTGTTATGAATAGAACCTTACCCATAAATTACGTAAACGTTGGAAATTGGTAATTTTTAATGTAATGAAATTGATATAAATGTTCACAGGGTGTGCAATAAATATTCAATTACCGATTTTCCACTAATGAACTAGGTAGGATTTCCAGACTTGTCATACACAATAGGAAACGCCTACTTGGCCGTGTCTGGCTGGGTCTAGTCACAGGGCCCACACTCCGACGGCTGATACCATGTGTATAACTCCGGGCCACAATGGACGGATGTTTAGTCACCCGCCGCACGGGCATCATCTCTCTCACGTGTACAGTTTACAACACACGTCCACTAAGGACAAGGAGACGATAGAGACGAAGATCACGGAGGAAGCATCGAACACATGTTGGAAACATCCTAGTACTACACACAGGCAGCCATGACAACACAGAGGCATATGTTATGGACTTTACTATCAGGTATGTATACCACTACTTGACGTAGACCCGTCATCATGGAGTATCAACCACATCAAATGTAGGCTGTAATCTTAATTTGTCAGACATTACGGTTATATTAAACACAAAAATATCATAGTTCATATCTGTACGGAAAGAAGGTTAAAAACTGGACGTTTGCTGAACGAAATTTCAATAGAATATGTGATGTTAAAATGCTGATGTTTAGAGATATGGCTCTAATAAGCGGAACGCACAAGAGAGAATAAATTTACATAGAATATCGACATATATGTCAAAATGCATGTTAAAGCACGACAGAGAACACATGCGATAACAAGGTTATGTGTCCTCGGCGCCCGTGACAGGATGAATAATTCACAAGTCACTGCAGTATCATATAGATACTGTTGTAGTAACCGACATTATACCATTGGTTTCATGGGTTTTCATAGCGGACTGAAGTATTAATCAAGATTTTTGTCTCCATGGAAGAGCTACGATCAGAGGCATTACAAGCCATGCTAGGAATATCGATTATAAAAGTATAGTTCTTTGTTACGAGGTAGCAGATGTAATCACACCACATTTACAATCGCTTCTAATGCTTTTTGCTAAATGACGTTACCATTCGTCACTTGAATCGGATTGGTTTCACCAAACTCACAGACGGGCTTGTATCCAAAGAGGAGGGACAAGCGTGGAATAGTGTTAGCTCCTTCCTGAATCAAATAACGACTAATTAACCCAAAACATAGAGAGGTTTAAATGTCATTGGGTGTCTTAGAGCTGTGGTGTTAGACGAACGAAGGAGGTGTGCTCGCATGCTGTGGTGTTAGACGATCGAAGGAAAACGCGTGAACATTACCTTGTGTTCCTGCTTGTCAGTTTGACCCACTTTGGTTCAGATAAATATCAGTTGTTACATCTACCCGGTAATACAAAAACACATTGTCGAGTACGATAAAAAAAACTGAAGCAAGAAATATTCTTATGACAATGTACCGACACTGTTTACGACAAAGGTTCCCCGTCTTATCGGATTTACATTGAATCTCTAGCATCCTCACAAACAGACTCTTTATGTAAACACAATGAACCTCTAAAGATGCAAGCATTATTATCACTCGTCACTACATACAATAAAGTTTGTCTGTCTGTTTAACACCTGTTTAATGATATGGTAAGCCAGCTGGCCCCAGTTGTTCAAAGCTTGATTAGAAATAAGCAGTGGTTAGTGAAATGAATTGACTGTTGCCACTAGGACATTCCGAGTGAAATTTACATTAAAAATACCAGTCTTACTTTCTGCACAAATTCAAGCTGAGGAATTATAAAGGAATGTCTCAATATTGTTTGATTTCTGCTTAAACTTTTTCACCATAATCCATCAACTTGATGACTTTTTTTAGATGTACCAAGATTTCCTGCCGTACTATATCATCATCATCATCATCATCATCATCATCATCATCATCATCATCATCATCATCATCATCATCATCAACAACAAATTGGTTTATTTTTATGTTTGAAATATTCAATATATGCAACAAAAATATATTTCTAATTTGGGGAATAATAGATGAAATATTCAACACGCCATCCTAATACTAGTTGCTCCCCTTTGTCACCAATTAGGTTTTGTATTTCCGTGATAAAGTTATATTACTGTTGTTTACCTAGGTGTGTTAAAACAAGTTATCAAACAGCTCACATTACGAAATTTAAACAGTGAAATAAAATCGGTACCAATAGGACAGGAAGAACAGCGGGAAATGAAACGGAAAACACAATAAAAATAATTATGGAAAAATAAATAAACAAGAACAGAGGTAGGCATTGTAAGAGAAGAAACATTCAGGAATTCCGGAAGGAAAGTCAGAACTTGTGTCATATCCCATGAAAGTTTGTCTTCAGACAGTCTAGACAAACAGTGGAGAACACCAAGGCGGGAACATGTTAGTGTAATTCAGGACACGGTTATCCCGGTATGATGTAGTGGTGATAAATACCATGTGATTTCTATTTACTGGTACTTATACTGTTGTCATAAACAGTAACGAGAATTCTATATAGTGTATACAGAACACAAACGACTGATACACTTAGAGCTACGATCAGAAATAACATAGGTTATATCAGCATGCTGACGTCAACAAACTTAGTACATACGTACCATGGAGAACAGTGTACTCTTCAGTAATACATTACTATATAGCTATAAGGTACGTTTTATTTAACCGATGAATTTGAATCTGTAATATCACAACACGTGGTACTACCAACTCGGTAGACAAAGCAGGAATACAATGCATTTTTAATTCTTTAAATCACGTATATTCAAAATAGTAAAACACTTGTCATATTTATATATACTGCGATAAACAGAATGACAATACTTATACACCGATGTTAACTGTACCTAGTATGTAATGTTTGTACAAATATATACTAAGATTGTACTTAAAACAACACTTAACAGCCTAACTACAACATAAACATCCTGAATACAACATAAACAGTCTGAATACAACATAAACATCCTGAATACAACATAAACAGTCTGAATACAACATAAACAACATAAACAGTCTGAATACAACATAAACACCCTGAATACAACATAAACAGTCTGAATACAACATAAACATCCTGAATACAACATAAACAGTCTGAATACAACATAAACAGTCTGAATACAACATAAACAGTCTGAATACAACATAAACATCCTGAATACAACATAAACATCCTGAATACAACATAAACACCCTGAATACAACATAAACATCCTGAATACAACATAAACAGTCTGAATACAACATAAACAGTCTGAATACAACATAAACAGTCTGAATACAACATAAACACCCTGAATACAACATAAACAGTCTGAATACAACATAAACAGTCTGAATACAACATAAACATCCTGAATACAACATAAACAGTCTGAATACAACATAAACACCCTGAATACAACATAAACAGTCTGAATACAACATAAACAGTCTGAATACAACATAAACAGTCTGAATACAACATAAACACCCTGAATACAACATAAACAGTCTGAATACAACATAAACATCCTGAATACAACATAAACATCCTGAATACAACATAAACATCCTGAATACAACATAAACACCCTGAATACAACATAAACACCCTGAATACAACATAAACATCCTGAATACAACATAAACATCCTGAATACAACATAAACAGTCTGAATACAACATAAACATCCCGAATACAACATAAACATCCTGAATACAACATAAACATCCTGAATACAACATAAACATCCCGAATACAACATAAACATCCTGAATACAACATAAACATCCTGAATACAACATAAACATCCCTGAATACAACATAAACACCAACATAAACAGTCCTGAATACAACATAAACAATACAACATAAACAGTCTGAATAAAACATAAACACCCTGAATACAACATAAACATCCTGAATACAACATAAACAGTCTGAATACAACATAAACAGTCTGAATACAACATAAACATCCTGAATACAACATAAACAGTCTGAATACAACATAAACAATCTGAATACAACATAAACAGTCTGAATACAACATAAACATCCTGAATACAACATAAACATCCTGATCCTGAATACAACATAAACAGTACAACATAAACAGTCTGAATACAACATAAACATCCTGAATACAACATAAACAGTCTGAATACAACATAAACAGTCGGAATACAACATAAACAGTCGGAATACAACATAAACAGTCTGAATACAACATAAACATCCTGAATACAACATAAACAGTCTGAATACAACATAAACAGTCTGAATACAACATAAACAGTCTGAATACAACATAAACATCCTGAATACAACATAAACAGTCAACATAAACATCCTGAATACAACATAAACATCCTGAATACAACATAAACAGTCTGAATACAACATAAACATCCTGAATACAACATAAACAGTCTGAATACAACATAAACATCCTGAATACAACATAAACATCCTGAATACAACATAAACAGTCGGAATACAACATAAACATCCTGAATACAACATAAACAGTCTGAATACAACATAAACAGTCTGAATACAACATAAACATCCTGAATACAACATAAACAGTCTGAATACAACATAAACATCCTGAATACAACATAAACAGTCTGAATACAACATAAACATCCTGAATACAACATAAACATCCTGAATACAACATAAACAGTCTGAATACAACATAAACATCCTGAATACAACATAAACAGTCTGAATACAACATAAACATCCTGAATACATAAACATCCAGAATACAACATAAAAAAACTGAATACAACATAAACATCCTGAATACAACATAAACATCCTGAATACAACATAAACATACAACATAAACATCCTGAATACAACATAAACATCCTGAATACAACATAAACAGTCCTGAATACAACATAAACATCCTGAATACAACATAAACATCCTGAATACAACATAAACATCCTGAATACAACATAAACAGTCTGAATACAACATAAACATCCTGAATACAACATAAACATCCTGAATACAACATAAACAGTCTGAATACAACATAAACATCCTGAATACAAAAACAGTCTGAATACAACATAAACAGTAATACAACATAAACATCCTGAATACAACATAAACAGTCTGAATACAACATAAACATCCTGAATACAACATAAACACCCTGAATACAACATAAACAGTCTGAATACAACATAAACAGTCGGAATACAACATAAAACATCCTGAATACAACATAAACAGTCGGAATACAACATAAACATCCTGAATACAACATAAACAGTCTGAATACAACATAAACAGTCTGAATACAACATAAACATCCTGAATACAACATAAACATCCTGAATACAACATAAACAGTCTGAATACAACATAAACAGTCTGAATACAACATAAACATCCTGAATACAACATAAACACCCTGAATACAACATAAACAG